TTATAGGTTAGGAACGTGGATGTCTGTGCCGTCGCTTACTGTATATAGTGTAAATATAATCTGAATAAAATCTCGTTTATAGCATCGAGCCGCCTTTTTCTTCACGATTGTGAGAATCGATCCGAATGTGAACTCCATTCTTACATATGTAGCTGAATTGATTAGTCATAATTTAGAAAAACAAATTAAAACATATATCATTTTTATACTCTTTTTTTTTTGTAGACTTATATATTAATAATATTGTATTTTTTATTGCAGTAATTCTGGAACAAAATCAAATATTGAAAAATCTCAGTGCAGCGCGTCAACAGATTCTAAAAAAGTCCATGAGTTAATCTCTCCAAATCCTGTTGTTTCGAGTGTTAACACTCCATCTTATCAACAATTCCATCACGTACCCGCTTCTCATTCTGTACCTCCTTTTCATCCATCTCTTCCTCTTCATTCACATAATTTTTACAACAGTTCTGTATACAATTATCCCAATACGAACTTTTCTCTTCTATCCAATCAACAGCATTCAAATAACAATCAGAAGAACGATGAATCATTTTTTACTAATTTTTCTTCTAACATGCATTATACTGATTATAATTATTCCACTGACAGTTCATCTATGTCTGTACCTACTTCAACATATCAATTCCTCTAAGTTATTCCTTTTCATATATTATTAAGATATATGTTGCATTCAAATTTTTATTTTTGTTCCGGTATCTGATACATACGCAATATTTTTTATTTTTTAATGCATGTTGGTAATACTTATTAAATTTTTATTATATATATATATATATATATATATAAGTATATATATGTATATATATAATAATCGGAAAAAATATTTTATTGAAGTTCGATATAAGTTTACGTAACTAAAAGCTGCTTTTTGGATTAGTCTTAAATGTTATTTGTTTGTTTATATATATATATATATATATATATATATATTATTAAGATATATGTAGCAATCATATTTTTAGTTTTTCGTTCTATACGTTCGAGTACTGATATGCAATATTTTTTTAATTTTTAATGTAATATTTGGTAATATTTTTTTATTATGTAATCATATATTTCTAAATTTGCTGTACGGTGTCAGGAATATGAGTATGAACGTTCGTCAACTCTTACATCATTCTGATATTGTTTTAGATTTAGGGCCTCTATGGGTATATTCTTGTTTCTTTTTAAAAGATGTAAACGGCAAACTGAGTAAATTGATTCACAGAACTTGTCATGCAAGATTACAAGTTTATTCAAGAGCATCAATTTATATGAATTTGTCCGTTCAGATTGGAACTCTAAATGTTGATTCTGCCGTGAGAAAATGCTGTGATCAGCTTAGATGTAATAAAAAGAAAATTAGAATTGTTGAAATTATTGATCGAAAGACTTATGTACTTTGCAACATTTAGATGAAGTGTCATTTAATATTCGTGCTGTTCTTACCAAGAGTTTAGATATTAAACTAGCAACATCCAAGTTTTTTATCGGCTTGAAAGAAAAGGTGTCCTCTTCTCTAGTGCAAAGTACAGTCGATCTAATAAAAAACTATCTCGTTATGTATCATATATACTCATGACAGTACATCACAGATTTGTATGATTGATCAATTTATAAGATGGTCTGACTGTAATTGTAATCGCCAATGTAGATGTTTGCCTGCAATATATTTATTTGCATTGGAATTAATTATAAAAAAGAGATGTGGTATGTTCATAATGTTCCAGGAGTTCACTTATTATATTTATCTCAGGTTCGTTCTACTGGCCAGTTTGTAGCATTATATGTTTAATGATTGTTTATGTTTTCATATGTTAATTAATGACAAAAAATTTATTGCTGAGCCAATTGATTCGTTAGAAAAAGAATAAATTCATGTTTGTAAATGTGCCGTTTTAAATAACATTAATAAATATATAATAATTATATAATTCAAATATTACATTATTTACTCTCCATACAATTATACGCATTGCTAGACAGTATCTTTTATTTATAATATATAGTAATGTTTTAATATCTAGTGAATTTATATTTATGTACACACACACACACACACACACACACGCACATGCACACGCACACACACACGCACACGCACATGCACACGCACACGCACAC